TTCTTATATATATGGCGATTTTAGTCACAATGTATGTATGTGTATAGGTATGAGAGGAAGTGTGGTTAGTGAACACAACAACTGTACGTGTACACAATAACGGTAAACTCGCAAAACACGTCAAGTCGAGCATTTTGAACAAATATAATATATAACAATAATAATACAACAAACATACACAATCCTACAGTAAGCCCGTACACCGTTACGACGCAGCAGCTAGCAGCATTGCTAACGGGATATGTGATGGGATAATACTGATGAGAGTTTGTGGATTTATGGATCAATTGGTGGGAATATGTGTGTGTGGGGGTGTGGTGTTTGAGGTTAAGTAGGATTAGGCAATAGGATTAAATTTCGTAGGCGCAAAGGTATGAAGGATAAGGACTGGCTGAGAGCAAGCAATGGTTGGAGGCGCTGGTAAGCGTTGTACGAGTGCAGGCGCTTGCGTATGTGTGTGAATGTATATATGAGCATGCCTTTGTATGTATGTGCGTTTGTGGCTTGCACATGCTTTAAAACTATTTTTGAAATATGTGTATGGTTTTCTATAGGCATTTTTAGTGCTGGAAGTATGCGAGTATGTATGGCAGATGTGTGGACCGAAATCAGTAAGTCTTTTCTAAAGTTGTTTTAATGTTCTTTTTTCTCTTTTTTTTTTACGTTTCGTTTGTTTGTTTTGCTTTTTGTTTGCAGCATGCCTTTTGCTGTGAAGATTTGATATTCCCTTTTCTGTCGTCGCATAGCTTAAGTTCGCGCTCACTCCGCTCATTCACTTGTATGTGCATGATGTTGTTGTGTTTGGTAATGAAAAAGATGTCATAGTCGGTTTTCTTTGCAAAAAACTTTTTTCATGCGCGCTTCGTGCGCGAACACGATATTTTTAATAATTTTTTGAAATTATTTAAATATATTTTTTATAAAAATTTAAATTTTTTAATTTTAATAATATTTTTAAAACTCATTTAAAAATACATTTCAGCGACTCTTTCTTTAAAAAAAATTTATGAACTGTATTTTACTGTAGCTTAATGCGAGATCGGTTGGACATTCTAAAAAGTCGTGTGCAAATAGAAATAGATACATAGGTATATGTATATATGTGTGTGTGTGTGTAGGTGCTAACAAGTGTGCATAGTACTTGTCTAGAAAGACAAACGAGACAGACCTGCAGAGGCTAGCAGTTTGTGATTCTCTTTAAGCATTCGTTAACAATCGTTTGCGTCAAAACTGTCGCGAACTTAATTTTTTTTTTCGAAGAATTTCTTGATTTTGCATATTTCACTTTCCATTTCTGTATACAAATGTCTTATAACACCCGTTATACGCTTGACTGTATTTTGAAGATTTCGAATTCATTTTTATTCGTTTTGTGTGTGTTTGTGCGCGCGCTTGTATATGTTTGTGTGTGTACTTGTACAGACATAATAGCTTAAGTGCATATAGATATGTAAATATAAATAAATATAAATAATTACATATGTTGTAGTTTTTTTTTTTATACATATGTATATACGAGTGTATATTGTGCTATGCATGTGTTGGTGTGTTGGTGCGTTTATGCAAAAATATACTCGCATTAAATAAAATATCGCTGAAGAAAGAGTATGGTAATAGAAAAAAATTAACACGAAAAATTATTATGATTTATAAAAGCTCTTAAAGCTAATCTAAACGCTTAATAAGCTTAGATTGAAATACAAGGAAGACCTAAAGATGTATGCAATAGGAAGTGAGCGCTTATACGTGTACCAAATTGTGTGCTGCCGAAGTATGAACAAATCTACATTTATGGTTAAAATTGTAGCTTTCATGTCTCGCCGTAGAGCTTCGAATTTCACCAAAGCTTTCACAAATAATTAAATTTCGAATGTTAGCTTCACAGTTATGTATGCGATGAAATTATCGTTGCGGTTAAAAAAGCTTAGCGCAAAGCTTATAATATGAGCTTTCGATAACAAAAAAGCTTTGAAACCAAAAACAAAAATATTTCATAAGCGACTTCAAATCGCAAGAAGATTGCGGTTAGAGCATATCAAGACACCTGAAAAAGCTTTTCATGAAAGCTTTTGATAGCATTTATGCTGTGGATTTTATGAAATTTTCAAAATCGATATTTAAATCGATTTTTCTGAAGAAATTTTGGAATTTCAGACTGTTAAAAGCTAAAAAGCTTTTCAAAACGTGTAAACAATGCATTTCATGAGTTTATCAAAATCATAATCGAAAAATTATTCTTCTGAAATGAATTATTGAATTTTCGAGTGCCGAAAGCTCAAAATCTCTTAACTAGGATATCGAACAAAAGAAGTACAAAAATTATAACCATACAGCCTGCTTCCGCGTATAGCTACTCACTTCATAACGCTTCGGACCTACATTTTGCACTCAAAACTTTCAAAATAACATAAACCCTAAGTGAATCTAAGCTCTGTGCTGCATACAATTTCCTACTATTATGTTTTTATATAAGCCAGCTAACCTGCTACATATGGGCCCCCAGGAGAGCCGGAATCTACATATCCCAATGCACTGGGCCCTCCTGGGCCACCCGGACCTGCTCCACCGAGCGGTCCGGGCGAGTAAGCACCACCGCTACCGCTACCTCCGCTGCCACGACCGCCGCTACCGCCATTGTTGCCGCTACCTCTGCCGCCATCATTGTTGTAGGCGCCACTGCCGCTATTACCGCCTCCACCCGATGCACCGCCAGGATAATAGGCACCGCTGCCGCTGCCACCGCTGCCGCTGCCACCGCTGCCGCTGTCACCGCTGCCGCTGCCACCGCTTCCGCTGACACCGCCGCCCCTGCCACCGCTTCCACTGCCGCTTCCACTGCCGCCTCCTCTGCCGCTGCCGCCGCTGCTACCGCTATTGTATGGACCATTTCCTCCACTGTATGGGCCATTTCCCTCACTATGTGGACCATTTCCACGACTGTATGGACCGTTACCATTATTGTATTGACCGTTGCCGTTATTGTGTGGACCATTT